ACAACGGAACAAAAGGGAACAGGAGCGACAAGAACGAGACCGTATACAACGGGAGCAACAAGAACGAGACCGTATACAACGGGAGCGACAAGAACGAGACCGTATACAACGGGAGCGACAAGAACGAGACCGTATACAACGGGAGCGACAAGAACGAGAACGACAACTCCAAAACAACCAAAGAGATGAAAAAGATTATAATAACAACAATACAAGAAACTAATTTTTAAAAATAAAAAAAAACAAATAAAAGTAAAAAATATTAAAATAGTAGAGTATAAATTGCTCCAAATATTTAAAATAATGATAAGAATGGATATGTAGAATATGTATTGTTTATTAAATTAACAAATATATAGACGTTTCGACCCTTGTTTTGGGTCTATATCAATATTCTAAAAAATATAATTGAAAAACGTTAATCGAACAGATACATAATTATTACAAAATGTGACAAAATAAAAAATATTAGTTTAAAGAAGATCAAAGACTCTTACTTTGGTTTTTACAAAAAAACTTTGTAAATCATAAAATACATTAACATTGTTTACGTAATTTTGTCCTTCGCGCAGAATGTTATTTTTAAAATATTTATATTAACAAAAATAACCCAAAAATTCGAGCTACAATTTCGTTTTGCAAACAACCGCTAGTTTTGTGAATATATATATATATAAAAAGAAAACATCATACGTGGAGGACAAAATTTAAGCCTTTCATTTTCCCCTGCTTTTCCCACCACTAAGTATGATTACAACCAAAACTGCGCTAGTGGGAGATGAATTTATACCAAGTAAGTCTTTGCGCATGCGTGAGTTAAAGAGTGAGGGAATAAAGGAAGTATACGTTTTGGGAAGCTTGTTGGTCCCGACTGTTTTTACCTGGGAGGTTCGACTGTAATTACATAATTGAATGTTAACCTTGAAAAAAATGAATAGAACAGTCAACAGTATATATAAAGAAGACTTTGGTCTCTCATATTTTTGTCAGTTTTATACAATACGAGCCAATTTTTCCAAATTTTTTTATATTCTATGTTTTATACTCATGCTTCTTTTATTTTATATATAAAATTATATACGTAATTTTTTTCAAAACATAATATACATAAAATCTTTAAAATCACTTTAAAATAATTTATACTTCAATTCTTCTGTTTAAACAATTCTCGTCAAATACTTGAAAATTCAATTTCCAATAGGAAGAAATAAAAATGGTGATGCAATACGGTGTGGACGGCGATTGCATTATCTTTGCACATCCGGCCAAATATGCTTCACACATAAAGTACGCGAAAAAAGTTAATGTCAGAATGATGACAGTTGACAGTCCGATGAAACTGTACAGAATCAAAAATATTTTCCCCGCAGATAAGAAAGTAAAATGTCATATAATAAAATATAATACACACACAAAGAGAAAGAGAGAGAAACAGACTGTGCATTATTAATTTCAAATTTAATAACTTTGATTTAATTTATTGTACGTAAAACCGAATTTGTTATACGTGTACGCTGCGAAAAAACACGCCAATAACTGGGATTGAAATTAGGCTCGGAAGCGGGCGAGGAGACTCGCCGTTTGATACAACTCGCGAAGGATCTCGGTCTGTATCTGCACGGGTTCAGCTTTCACATCGGCAGTCCGTGCGAAGAGCCGGAAGCTTATGCCAGAGGAATCGCACTGTGTAAACAACTAATTACCATTGCTAAGGAAATCGGTTGCGACAACCGGTGGAGTTGATCGACATCGGCGGTGGATTCCCCGGCGAGAGTGACGCGGATATTAATACGGTAAACGTGATGTTTATTCACGTAGATGAAATATATACGAAGCAGATATATCTAATAAAATTATAATGTCAAAACGTGTACACATCAAAATTTGATTTTTGATCTGTCGAGACGAGAGTGTGTTCAATGCTTTCATTGACGAACTGTTGGGTTTGCGGGCCAGAGTCTCGGAAGTGCTTTCCAAGGTAATTTTGATTCACACGATCTCTTATTCATAATAAAATAATGATCATTGATTTTTTTTGTGTGTAGCCAAAGAGCGAGGAAAAATTTCTCTCAACCGTATGAGGACCGACTGCCGACTCGTACGATTTAATCTTCAAGAATGTCATGTTGCCACTACTTGATAGGCGATTGGCTGATGTCTTTGGAAAGACACGGGCGCTTATTCAATTGTCGTTGCTTGTACGTTCAATGGATATCCAATTCCAGTTGTAATTCCTGTTATTCGAAACAGTCAGTGGTGAGTGTTTGTTAAACTCTGAAGAAATACATTTTAATGATAGTATTAAAAAAGAAAGTGCTAATAAAGCTTTTATTTTTACATTCTTTAATTGATGTAAGTGTACGAAAAATCTACTTGTCAACATTTTTCAGGGATATTTTCATGAAATCAATTGATTCGTCGTCGTAAAAGTCTGTAAAATTCGTCAAGCAATTCAGATATGCAATAACAGATGTGCAATAAGAAATGAAGTAAATAACAAAACATTTTGAAGCATCAAAAAAAAAATACACAAACGTATTTTTAATAATTACTAATCCACCAAATTTTTACGTAATTCTCACGTTCCGTAAAATTCCTAAATAATAATTTCCAAACTAAAACGTAAATTATCATCACGTGTGCATCTCCTACAGTTAAAGAAATGTTTGAATTTTCATGATTGTTTTTTTTTTGAAACTTTTAAATAAATACAAAAACATTGATTTTCTCATTAATAACTAAACAGAGAATTTGTATATAAACTTTGCGCAAAACGAGGTCAAGATGACACACGGCAATGTAGTATGTTTGTGATGTATGCTTACGTTTATTTAAACAGATGTAACGATGCACATTAACCGTTTTGTAAATAATGAAACACGCACATTCATCAATAACATAACATTTAGTTTGTTGTTACGTCATGTGAAATTGATAATTATTGCGTCACGATGGAGGAAAAAAAATGAGGGATAAAAAGAGGGGCTTAGAGCAGAAGAATGAATACGACGTCTAACAGCTACTCAGTAATCACTCGTCTTGGAAGCGCTATGCGTTGGCCATGTTGAAAAATTAGTAGAAAATCGAAATCTTAATAAGTGACAGTTTTTAAAATAAAGGTTACAAGACTTTTGAGAGGTTTTTAACATACTTTAAGAACATTGTAAAAGATATTGTAGATGTAATTGTAAGTATGTGCACTTATTTTTAATATGAGATTTGAAACACTTATTTCCGATAACAAGTTGCTTGTAACATAGCATGTCAAGTAAGAGAGACCTGCTTCAGAGATTACATTTCGTAGAAGAGAATTTTATCTTTACAAGAACATTACAGAAGAATTTTATGAACATTACGTCTCATACCGAGAACTTAAATTTCTCTCTATTAAAACAACATAAATTTAAATATTTATTAACCGTTTTTTTAGATTTATTTGATCATGACTTTTGAATTTGTTATCGGACTTTGTGTTGAAAGTAATTTGTATTTAGAAGCATCTCTTAAAAGTTGTATATTAATTTTTATCTATATATTTCTCTAAGAAAAAATAGAAACACATATGATCATGTAAGATTACATACAAGTGATCCAAAGTTTGGATCTGATTTTATATAATCATATAATCTTAGTGATTTTATTGATTTTATACAATTTCATATAATTTTAGTGATTTTATTGATTTTATATGATCGATATAAAATCGAAATTTAGCGCGATCTAATCACTTATACTCATCATATGTTTCAATTTTTTCTCGAGTCTCTAAATATATAAATTTATTATTTTGCAGGAAAGTGTTCAAACAAAATCTTTGCGGACAATATCTGTTTTTTTATTTTATCTCATCATGCACTGTAATTTTGAAGAAATAAACGTTGTAGATGATAACACAGACGACATAACTATTATTAAAAATATAATAAACGCGGAAAAACAGGAAGACCCTTTTTATATAGCCGACATTGGCGATGTTATCAAACGACATAACGAGTGGATTAGTAAAATGCCTAAAGTTATTCCGCATTATGGTGCGTTTGTTATCATTTATTGCATTTTTTGTGGTGTCATTAACTTGCTCTTATATTAAACACTTACAATAATCAAGTCAATTAACATTTATTTTTCTAAAATTTCAGCAATTAAATGCAATTCAAATCCAACGGTGATTAAAGTTCTGGCGGCTTTAAATGCGTGTTTTGACTGTGCGTCTAAGGTAAAGTTTTATTTTTATCATAAACTATCTTTTTGTATTGTATATGTTTGCATATTGCAAATATATATGTCCTTTCTTTTTTACAGCAAGAAATATTGCAAGTTATACAGTACGGCGTGCAAGGTGAACGGATTATTTTTGCACATCCGATGAAACTACCTTCTCACATCGAATATTCCAAACAAGCGGGTGTCGATCAGATGACAGTGGACAGTGAACTTGAGTTGATAAAAATCAAAAAATATTTTTCCGAAGCTAAGTAAGTGAAAAACAGAGTTAGTGTGTATATGTGTGTGCGTATATAAATAAAATCAGTTATATAAATTTAAAAAGAGAGTGTGTTGACAGCCAAGAGATTTAACCATATAAATTGAATTTTAAATCGAAAAATCCGGTTTATTTCCATTTTTTTAATTACTCTGTGTTACACTATTACTTTAAAATAAAACGGTTTTTTCGAATTTTCTCAATTGATGTTTTATTTGACATTTCCATAATCGACGAATGTTTTTTTTTTTTTTTGCAGAATCGTGATACGCATACGATGCGACGCGAAGAACACGCCGGTGTCGTTAGGGATAAAATTCGGCTGCGAGTTGCGCGAGGGTATGTGTTTGATACAACGAACAAAGGATCTCGGTTTGAATTTGCACGGGTTCAGTTTTCACGTCGGTACTCCATGTCTGGAAATCAATGCCTATCGCAGAGGAATCGAAATGTGCGAACAATTAGTCGCTTACGCCAAATCGATCGGCTGCAAAAACGTACGGCTGATCGACATAGGCGGCGGTTTCGAGTGCGTGAGCGGTGAGAAACTCAACGAGGTAATTTTCACAACTGTGTGGATGTTGTATCTGAACACGTAGAATATACATATATGTGTGTATAATTTTTCAATTGTGTATCAGTTAGCGCAAGTTATTAACGGCGCCATCAAAAATCTGGATCCCGATATAAAAGTCATCAGCGAACCGGGACGTTATTACGTAGGATCGAATTTCACTTTGGCCTCGTATCTACATTCGAAAAAGCTCATCATTTCCGAAGACGGCTTGCTGAAAAGAATGTATTATATGAATTGCGGCGTGTACAATGCCTTCTTGGACGAATTGTTAGGCGTGCAGTCGCGAGTTCCGGAAGTAATTTTCGAAGTAATTATCTCTGCTCATTTTTTCTTTTAAAACAAAATACCTGTATTTATCATAGAACGACGTGTTTTTTTTTTTTATTATAATCGTTACGAAATGAATCGATTTGCAATTGCGCAGCCAATAAGCGAGGAGAAATTTCCCTCGAGCTTGTGGGGACCGACCGCCGATTCGTTTGATTTGATTGCCAAGAATGTGCTATTACCCGAACTTTATATGGGCGACTGGTTAGTATGGAAAAATATGGGTGCTTACACGTTAGCTCTTTCCAATACTTTCAATGGATTCCCGATTCCCGTTGTGAAACCATTTATCAGGAAGAGTCAGTGGTAAGTGTCTATAAAAATACACTTTAAAACCCGAAAGATAGTGGATTCAACATCCTAAACGTTCTGAAGAAGTGGGGCACTATTAATTTCCATTCCGTGAAATATCAAATAACTAATTCATGTTTTCAGGACAAATTTTCTCAAGCAATTGAATCAGAGTTAAAAGACGCGGTGGAAATAAAATTATAATAAAAATTAATGCGATAAGCGTGTTAGTGTAAATAAAAGTATATTTGTACAAGTTAATTATATTTAACAAGTATTTATATAAAAAATAAAAACGAACATAAATAATATTTCATAAATCTACAAGTAGTTTTTTATTTAATCCTTTTGCTTCTCTGCGAGATTCACCAAGAATTTTGAAGTCACGTGCTTCACGTGAAAAAGAAGAAAAAAAGAAAACTGCGAACGCATATGTGTTGGAAATATTTTACGGAGCTTGTTTCGCACGTATGCGAGATACGCACTACTCTGTATTAACCACAATTTTACGCGAGGAATAGAAATTGCGGCGAGTTCGTACGAGTTTATTTGAAATGCACGAGATCACCGAGAGAACACGTCATTGCGCGCCGCGGCGCGTGATTCGTCGACCATTTCAATTATTCGGCGTTGCAAGAGCAATTCGTTCACATTAAGTTGTCAACGATGACATTTTGACGCAACTATACATCAAAATCCCCTCTTGTGTTTATATTCCGTAGTGATATAATTACATACACATCGATAAATTGAATTTCACGTAATTGAGCAATAAATAACAACGCGTAAATTAAATAACGCAACGAGAGATAAGAAGAAAGACGGCAATGAGCATTCGGCAAACGCATGCGGATGATTTACAAGAAGCGAGTGACGCGAAATAATTTTGCTCTTACGCGACCGAACCGCATCACGTTCTAATTATCCACGGCTAATCTTCATTCCCGACGATAAATCTCAACGGCGACGAATAAAATAAGAACTATCGCGAAGAAGACTATGAAAAAGAATAAGAGAAGTTTCATTCCAAATTGCGTGCGTTTTAATGAGCACCGAACAACTGCGCGAACGACCGTTTCATCGCGCGGTCGAGAAAATCCACTCCACGCCTCATTGACGTCAATTCTCACCGATTCTTTGTGCTTTGATTCTTCATCGCAATCTATCCCCCGTAACAATCGCGCGAAATTAAAAGGCGTTAAATATACGTATCGAATATCGCAACGCAACGATTGTGTTAAATTCATTTCTGAACTGAGAGAAGTGTGTGGGCGCGGATGTAATCGTCGCGCGTCGACTTCATTGATGGTAACGTTAATCAGTGCGATCAGTCTCCGACGAATTTCGTTACTCCGCTTTTTGATTTACAGGCGGACATATCGTTTCAACGTCGTGTACGTTTATCGATTTACGCCACTGATATTTTATTCGTTCTTTTCTCTCGAACAAGCCTGCAAAAAAAATTATCAATCATTTTATTATCTTCTCACGGGAACCCGGATACTTCAACGATCTTCGCAACATTTGTTGAGACGCGAAGCGATCGAAATACCGAACACCACATCGGTGGTTATCAGAAACGCGTCGACGTTTTCGCATTTTTCTCTCCACGTCTCAACTCTGCTTCTTTTTCTTCTTCAACCCACTTTCAACATTCCTCTTCTAATCCGGGGAGGTGACGGGGAGTCGAGAAAAGGGGGTGAAACGAAGCAAACGGAGGGAGAGCACTAAGTATGCATAGCCGAGTTTCCGGCTTCGAGTACGCGCTCGGACTTCACCTTTAGCCGTCGTCCGGGACCGGTTCGTAACTAGTTGGCACGGCGCCATGCATAGAGGCGCGCGCTAATAAGTATACCCTGCTTTCGGGGTTCGCGCGCTAACACATTCGAGTGGCTGACAAATGCTCTAATACCCGCCATCGTCAGTGCCCGCCGACCAAGACGAACTTCCTTCGGCTTTCCGCTCGCTCGGTTTCAGCCGAAGCTTTCGCGTACATGCTACTTCGCTCCTCGCGCGAAGGATTACAGAATGTGGCGTGCGATATATAAGAGGCGCATGTACTTCGAGAAAACGAGGTATTTTGGTAATCAAGAGGCACACGGTGATGCCTCTTGATTTACCAAAATATCTCGTTTTCTCGAAGTACATGCGCTCTTAACGTGTCTTTAAAAACGTGACTAAAGTAAAGTCACGTGTTGTTTTTTCACTCCTTCCTCTCTCTCTCTATTTTTCGAGTTTGATTTTCATGCGGTATTTCTGACACCTCTCATTAGTGTATTATATAGGTTGTAAGACGATCATGCATTGTTCCGTTTCTCCGTGTGTTGACGAGTATCGATAATACGGGAAATTGAAAGAAAAAAAAAAGTACACAGCGACATTTTTTTGGAAACTCGAGCGTTTCTAAATCAAATATTTAACAATCGTATTTTGCATGTTCTGTATTTTTGATATTAATACATATCGCGCTTCTATATCCGGAGTGCTTTCCGTTACGAATGCACGTGAGGCAAAAATCGCTTATTGGATTACACGTGGCAGAATTTAAGCGGGGAGAAAATATGGTCACCGGACGATACGAGAGCGAATATGAGAGATAAGATTGGATTACGGTTCGACGGAGATCTATCGCGAGTTGAGTTTTCTGGATTAACCCTTTGCACTCGTAAATCCAATTGGGTTAACCGCGAGCGGGGTACTTCGGAGAAAGAAAGAGAGAGAGAGAGAGAGAAAGTGAGAAAAAGATAGCGTTTTACTCTCTGTGTGCGGCGGTTGATTGGCTTCGCCGCAGTTTTCACAGAGCACAATGGCGAATTGGCTGTCAACTCGCTCGCAAATACATGCAGATCGCGGGTGGATTAAGAACATACAGGTCGCAAAGGCGGATTTTATTCGGCCAATCGGCTTTTCCTTCTTGGTTTTTCGGCGGTGTGCCATATTGTAGCACACCACGATATTTTCGCGCACAGGATCAATTTCGTGTGTGCGTCGCACGCGACTGTGAATGACGGCGCTTTATAACTTTGAGTTGTGGCGCATTAAATCAATAGCGAGCAAAACACACGCACACATGTGTGTACTCTGTTTCAATGGCGCGCGCGCACGCGCTTGTTGTATTTGTTCTTCTTTGTCGGAATTCATAAAACGTTTAGAATATCGCAAACATGTGCGTGTGTGTGTGTGTTGTGTATTTACAATTCTGCAAGTTTCAAAACAGAATATATCATCAACACGCATTCTTTCATTAATAACCGCTGCGTTGCACGTCATTGCATGTCATTAAGTGTGTAAACCACGTGAAATATTTGCATACGCGATGTAGCCTTTGCGCGTATGCAAAGGTACACACACGCGAAACTATACACACCCGAGATTTCGTAATAAATATAAATAAATATATGCAGCGCGGATCTCTCGCGGATAAATTAGATGTGTGCGCTTCGCCGCTAATTGAGCCAATATATATGTCATCAATAATAATCTTCAAAACCGTACGTACGTATCTTTTTACGATTTTAAAAACGTTTGATTACGTTTACACGTTCACAAGAGCTTTGTCGCGTCCGTTGATTTCTCATTATCGTGATTTCTACATAAAATTACCTCGCGGCGTGGTTCCATTACAGGTAAATTATTTACAATTAATTATTAAGTGTCCTCTATATCGGGAATAATATAGGGTTTAAAATGTGAAATATAAAACTCGCGCACACGCGCGCGCTCGACTTTGTAACGTCGCGTATCACAAAAGCCCGGCAGATAAAACAATGCCGCTCTCTCGGGCTCGTGCGCTATTTATTTGTAATTTCAATTAAACGAGCCGAGACCTGCCATATTATTCGGAAGCTCGGTCCTTTGTAGCATTATTACTTCGCTACAAAATATGTGTTATTATGTATCGAGACATTGTACCGATCATTTAATTAATTAAATTCGCGACAAGCGCGTGCACGAGTTACGCTCACAGTAAAATTCGAACGTTTACTCGCGCGTGTCGAACGCGTGTAATTTATGCGTAAAAACACATTGCGGACTTTACATGAGTCAGCCAGTGCCGATACGTCGCGGCATATTTTTTTTTGTTTGTGAAAATTCAATCGCCTTAATTCTCGCGCAAATACGGCAAATTAACGTGTGTAGATTTTTATATTTACAATTAGTTATCGCATATAAATTATTCATATAAACAAACCTTTCAACAAGCTTATTTCTGTTAGATTTTTTTTTAATGTATAACGCGCACATGTACGAATTTTTCGAGATCTGTTGACAAAAGAAGTAAATATATCAGAAATTAATAATTGACGTGAGCGCCACAAAGTGATTATCCGGTCAATAAATTGAAAACTAAATTGTTCACATAACTCGAAAATAAAATAGTCAAAGCGGCAGTTTTTTTTCTTTATTTTGTGGAGCAATTTTTAGCAAAAAGTTAGTCGCAAAGGAGCTGTGCGCACATTGCCGCATTCTCGAAAAGCTTCAGCAAGAGAGAGAGAGAGAGAGAAAGAGAGAGAGAAGGTCCCGTTGCGCGCGCGATGATAGATCAAAGGAATCGACGGTACTTAATTGCTATTTACCCCGAGCAATTCCCTCCCCTGTCGCGCCATCCCTCTCTCCGGAAACGATCGCTTCCCGAGCGTGTTTCCGTCATAGCGACAATTTCACAATTCTCTCTCTCTCTCTCTCTCTTTCTCTTCTCTCTCGTTCGTCATAAAGGGGATCGTCGCCGTCTACGGAGACTCGTTACAGCGGGGACGCGACCCCGGAATTTTCATATCCAAATAGTACTCGACATCGAGCGGATGTTTCAGCCAAACGCGCGCAGGGAAGGGCCACTCGGGCGCGAGTAAACGTTTTGAGAAAAATAAACCGAGCAACGCGTCTACTACAGAAATCGAACGTGTGCGACTCCTCGAACGACCCCTTCTTCGCGTTCCCTTTCCTTCTCCTCCGCGCTGTCTCTCTCCTGTGAAAATTCTTGCTATTTTTCCAACATGAACATTTGAGCTCCCGAGACGGGAGTAGTTGTTCTCTCTATTTCTCGGCTGAAGAATACTTACATACACACCCCCAGCACATGCCAAAGTACATATTCCGTAACTAGTGCAAAGAGCGATTGACAAGTATTCGAAACGACATGCACAGATGAGCCAGCGTTTGACATTTGTTCTTCTTGTCGAACACAGCAATGGGTCGTTTCGGATACTTATCAATCGCCTCCAATCCAGTTGTCTCTAAAACAGGA